CAGTGTAGTCACATCGCACAACGAGACAAAGACACGCGCACACGCGCAGACGCGCGTGTGCTCTCGCGACCAGCACCAGACCCAATCTCCTCCTCTTACATCTCTCTCTCTCTATATATCCCCCCAAACTCCTACAAACACACTGCCCGCACATGTACCCGTTCTGTCCAGTTTCAACCGTTCCCCTCATTTCACAATCACCCTAGAAACTGCCTAACCTAACCACGTCTGCCATTATCCCCAATACATCAATGCAGCCGCGCATCTGGTTGAGCGAGGCTGTCTAGCTGGACTATGACTAAAACAACTACCAGTCTATCTCCACTCGACTAATCCAATGAACATGTGTAAAACACGCGTTACAGCAACACAACCATCAACAACGTTACTGTTGAGTGACAAAGTTACTGTTACTGTCAAAGTTACTGTTTGGATGCAACAGCGACTGGTCAGTGGATTGACCAGTTGATAATGTCCACCTCGACTTCGATATGCCACAGGATCTACGCACGTAACGCTCCAATCTCCGTGTTTGTGTGCGTCTACACAGTTCTAGGACGTCCCGATGTAAACAACCCGTAATGCCATGGGAGGTATAGTTGTGTTCCGTTGTACGCAAAGACTCGGTAGTGTCTGTTACTCTGGATCTCGCTGGCTATGCAAACAAGAACGTGACACTCTGGGATGAACTAGGACCCGGATTGGTATAGGGCACTGATTGGCGCCGTTGTTCGCTACGTCAGCGATCACTGGCGCTCCGCATGACATTGCGCGCCACCTCTTGGATATATGCGGCGAGTGTACATATGGATACAGTCTTCATGCTTCACAATACATTCGATCCTGTGATAGAATCCTGGCTGACGTGTCTATCTTGTGGTAAGATTGCTGTCAGTAGGCGGAGGCTGTCACTAATAGACAGATTAGACTGTAAAATATACAGATATATGTTGGTACTCGTCTGGTACGAGTTGATCCTGCAGCTCTCCCTCACTCTCTCTGCATTTTGACAATGCAAGAAAGGAAAATGGCAGGTCTCTTGGCACGTCCGAGCAGGCGAATGTTCAGAATAGTTGTTTTTACAACTCATTTGTGCACCGGTTGCGCTAGTCTTTTCCGTCGGGTACGATCACCTGGCTGCCACCATGTAATATATACTCTTGACACAGAACACAGGTATATATTCAATGTAATCAATGTTTATTTGACGGACGAGTTTCCAGCACAACTTCCACAAGAGCCCATGATCTTGAAAGAGAGGAAGAACCTACTGCGCATGCTCACGCATGTACTCGCGTATACCAATGCTAAGCTGTCATATTACACGAGATTTTTAGGTGGAAATTAATGAAATGAAAGTGTCAATAACACTGTAGCTCACCTTCGGTGTGATAGAAGAGGGAGGGGGGATATATAAAGCAAGAGTATATATGGGAGAACTCCCATTATATAGCATATCTCCCATTATATAGCATATCTCCCATTATATACTCTTGATAATGATATATGCATAAGTTTTGATGCGAAAATAAATGTTTAAGATCTGAGTCTGAAATCT